GACCTGGAACTTGTGATCCTCCCGCCTCAGCCTCCCCAGGTCACTGGGATTAGAGACAGGTCAAGGTGATTTTTAACGAGCTCTAGGAAGGAACCTGGGTGGCTGAGGACATGGCACAGGGCGGCACCATCCACTTCGGGCAGAGAAGCCCAGTCCTCACATGCGGGCCTCCCCCAAGTTGGTGTCAGAAAATAGTCCATTGATTAAAAAAGTAAAAGGGTTCAAAAATGTCTGGCGCACCAGCCCTCTTAACTGACAGCCTTGTGACTCTGGGGTCCCTCTTCTAGGAGAGGAGAAGCCTCGGTCTCCTGACACTTCTGAGATGGGAGGGACCTCCATAGCAGGCGTCAGGGAACCCAGAACGACTCCATCATGGCAAAGCGCTTTCTGTGAGGGCCACTCGAGGGTGCTGCTGGGGACAGGATGTGAGGAAAGCTGCCTTCTGTTCTTAAAAAGGGCAGCCCGGCCTCAGGGCCGCTGGGGTTGCTGCCTGGAGCCCTGCACAGGCTGCTCGCCAGGTGAGACTGGCCACGGGAGGGCGGGCCTGCAGAGTTCACAGCAGGTTGGAACAAGTCCCTCGGTGCAGTCAGCCAGATCCACATCTGTGCCACCATGGGCCGCCGGCAGTGAGTGCCAGACCGCTAGGGCACCATGGAACTGTCCCTGTGCTGGGGAGCTGGCCTGCAGCAGGAGAGGCACAATCACAGAGTGGCAGGGCAGAGCAGGAGGTCGGGTGGTGGGAGGAAGTGCTTAGGAAGGTCAGGACGGAGGCCAGCGTGGCAAGACCCAGGGAGGAAGGTGGGGCCATTCACCAGGAACCCTTGGCCACTTAGGGACTTAGATCTTCTAAGAACAAAGGGACACCCGTGACAAGTGCAGAAAAGGATGGGATGATTTTAAAAGCCCTGGGGCTGGGCTGCAGCTCAGTGGTAGACCCCTTGCCCAGCTCGCATGAGGCCCTGGGTTCAATCCGCAACATAAAGGCATGCTGTCCACCTACAACTACAAATCAACCAATCAATCAATAAAAGCCCCTCAGCTGCATCTGGGAACTGCTTGGAGACCCTAGGGCAGAAGCAGAAGTGGTGGGGGTGGGGACAGAGGCCACAGCTGGGCTGGGATGGAGCAGAGGGATGCTAGTACATCCCAGAGACAACCCACCAGCCCTGGGTGGAGTGGCGGAAGGTGTCCAGGTCATCCCGAGTTTCCAACTGGAATCTGGACATCTGAACAGAGGCCCTCCCTGTCTAGGGAAACCAGGGGAGGCAGAGAAGGCAAGCGTCCTGTTCTGTTACTGATCCGAAGGCTCTTTACCCAGGGCTTATGGCCTATTCCTTGTGGATGATGTCATAGACTGGACTGTGTCCCCCCAAAACTCATTGAAGCCTTAATCCCAGTGTGCCCGGAAGCAGAGCCTTTGGGGAGTCGTTGAGGTCACATGCAGTGGTAAGGAAGTGCCCTCACAGCAGGACTGGTGTCCTTAGGAAAAGAGAAGCACCAGGAGTACACGTGAAGGAGACCTTAGGGACACTCAGGGAGAAGGTGGCCTCTGCAAGCCACCAGGAGACACCTAGAGAGGAAGGTGCTGGTCTGCCCACTGCCTCATCTGGGACTCCAGCCTTCAGAACTGGAGAAAACGGACGTCTTTTGGGTGAGCCACTCAGCCGGTGCTGTTTTATTAGACAAAAAACAGACTACACAGATGATATATTTCAATACGTTTTTTTAATTAGCAAGACTTGCCCTATTCTTCTACAGAGGAGGATTGAGAACGGCTGAGTGAGCCGATGACACCCACCGACAGCCTTGCTTTGTATCTCTCCACACAGAGTCGGACCAGAACCCGCTGGGGGAGCGAGGGAGCGTGGGGCTGATCTGTCTCATGGAAGTCACATCTGTGGTCCCCAGAATCAGGCCGTTACAGTGGGTCACCTCACAGGTCACTGAAGAGTTTGACTGCCCACCTGTGTGTGTGTGTGTGCTCGCGCACACTAAGCTTGTAGAGTGCCTAGGTACATAGTGGCACATGTGACTCTCTGTAAAATGAAAGCAGCGACTTGCAGAAACACATGGACAGTAGGATTCTGGGAGCATAAAGGCCTGCACGTCTTTCCTGACTTCAGACCCTGGGGTCTCTGGAGGTGGACTGGATGCATTTTGCTCTGTGAGATGCACCTGAGCCTTCGTGGAGCAGGGACGACGGTATGGTTTGGATGGGTGTCCCCCAGAGGCCCATGAGTTAAAGAACCGGTCCCCCGCTCATGGCACTGCTAGGAGAAACCCTAAGGCGTTTGGCCCAGTGGAAGGGCTTGGTTACTGGGGACATGGCCTTGAAGGGGATATTGGAAACCTGGTTCTTGGTCTTTTTGCTTCTGGCCCCCCAGGAGGTGAATAGGTGTGCGCCACACACACTCCCTGGTGGGATGTGCAACAGGGCCAACTGACCATGGGCTGGAACTGAGTCAAAGAAACCTTCCTTTAAAAAAAAATGTTTATCCCAGGCATTTTGTTACAGTCTTAAGTCAGGAAACGGCTAGAGACCCCTGTGCCTGCACCCACCCAGTGTTCAGAGAGGCTCCAGCTCATCTTCATGCTTGACGATCCTGCCTCAAAATTCTTCATGATATTTTGTGTAAGGGGTCTCTTATTTTTATTTCATGCCAGGCCCTGCAATTATGTATACAGTTCTTCTCATGAAAGAAACTCATATCCAATTGTTGGCAAGAACTGTCCCTGGGAAATAATGTTGGGGGGAGTGAAACAGCCAGAATTTCTCGTATATTCTGCACAGTGCCACCATGTTCACAAGCACTTTTGCTTTTGTACCTTACATACGAATATCCAGAACACGAGCAAAGCTCCGGGTAAAGTTAGCTGCCCAGTGAAGAAAAGCGTACCCCATGTGGGCAGAGCTGGATGAATTCTGTCTCTACCAAATAGTCACTGGGGTTGGTTGACTGTGTGTGTGGCGCTAGGGATTGAACCCAGGGCCTTGTGCGTGGGAGGCAAGCACTCTACCAGCTGAGCTATATCCTCAGCCCAGGTTAGTTGACTTTCCATTGCTGTAACAAAATGCCTGGGATAATCATTAAAAAAAAAAAAAAGGAAGGTTTCTTTGACTCAGTTCCAGCCCATGGTCACTTGGCCCTGTTGCTCTGAGCCTACGGGGCAAGGCAGCACATCCCACCAGGGAGTATGTGTGGCGCACACCTATTCACCTCCTGGCAGCCCGGAAGTAAAAAGACCAAGAACCAGGTTTCCAATATCCCCTTCAAGGCCATGTCCCCAGTAACCAAGCCCTTCCACTGGGCCAAACGCCTTAGGGTTTCTCCTAGCAGTGCCATGAGCGGGGGACCGGTTCTTTAACTCATGGGCCTCTGGGGGACACCCATCCAAACCATACCGTCGTCCCTGCTCCACGAAGGCTCAGGTGCATCTCACAGAGCAAAATGCATTCAGTCCACCTCCAGAGACCCCAGGGTCTTAACAGGCCCAGCAAAACTCAGAAACCTCGACTAAAACCCTTATCCAAGATGTGAGGCAAATTCTCAGCTGTGAGCCGCTGTGAAAAATCAACAAGGAAATTACATGCTTCCAAGATCCACAGCTCAGAGGAAGCCCGGCCTGGAGGCCCCTAGCAAGGCAGCACATGTTCCACGGGAACATGTGGCAGAAGCCACTCGGCTCCTGGTGGCCAGCCACCAAAGAGAGCAAGGGGCTGTGGGTCCCCACGTCCTCTCCAGGGCACATCCCCAATGTAGACTTCCTCCCACAAGACCCCGCCCCTTAAAGGTCCCACTACATCCTGGTAGCACCCGAGGCTGGTAACCAAGCCTTGGACGGGTGGGTCTCTGGGAAACACCCAGACTCTAGCACTGAGACTGTTTCCTCCTGGACAAAACACGGGAACCTACCTCCTGGGGCTGGTACAGGAGTGAATGAGTCAATTCTGTAAAGGATGCAGAAGATGCTGGGAATTGCCAGGTGCTGGTTACAGAGTCACGAGGACCCAGGGAGCAGAGCGCAGGTGTGAGAGCACAGGCGGACCCATGTTTAAATCCTAACTCAGCCACTTCCCATGTAAAGGGGGCCCCCTCACCCAATCCTCCTGCACCTCAGTTCTGTCATCTGTAAAATGGGAACAGCATAGATTCAGAGTGTCTTAGCTGGAGGTACTCCAAGCCCTGAGTCTGGTAACCCAGAGAAGGTCAGCTGCCACCCTAGAAAGCCAATGGCTTGGGAGACAGGTGACAAGAGAACAAAGAGGTTTTCTTTTTTTTTTTTTTAAGTTGTAGATGGACACAGTACCTTTATTCTATTTTTATTTATTTATTTTAAATGTGGTACTGAGGATTGAAGCCAGTGCCTCACCGTGCTCGGCAAGTGCTCTACCACTGCTCTACCACTGAGCCACAGCTACAGCCCCCAAAGGGTTTTATTTATTAATAACAAGCCGGCTCGGACGACGGTGAGTCAAGCACCCTACCCTCAGCAACCATCTTGGGGCCCTTGGGTATGCAAAAGGGCTTTATGGGGGGCGGGAAAGAGGAGCAGGGGACAAAGGAGAGGTACCACCCCAGTGACCCAGAACTGGATGCTGTCCCAGCCACTCCCCTCTTGGTGCCTTTAGCTTCCAGGAGAGGAGACCTGGCAAGGCTGGGTCAAATCACCCCTGCACCAGGCGGAGCACTTCTCAAATGATCAACGTGCAGACATGCAGAGCTGAGCAGAAATCTGACCCACATTCAGGCAGCAAAGGAGACAGGCACAACAGGAAGGCTTTTCCTCCCGTTCTACCACCATGGGACACCTGCAGGCTCAGTGAAGTCAGAGTTCTCGGCAGCAGTGGCCTGAGGTCCCTGAAGGGTAACCTAGGCAACCATCAGCATCATAACCGGGTCAGAGGAGTCCCCTAAAGCCAGGCTAATGGGAGCTAATAATACATTGCCCAGCTGCGCGACCTCCAAAACTTGCGGTTTTTAAATTCAACCAAAAGCGAGTGAAGCAAAAGGGTTTATTTTCCCTCAGTAACAATCTCAGGGGTTCTTCAAAAGGGCATCTTCCTCAGTGCCTGGGACCAGCAGAGGCCACGTGTGCCATGTAGGTGGGGGACACTGAGCTGGACGGCAGCCCTGTCCTGGGTTCTTGATTTTGCCTTGCAGAGCTGGCTCTGACCTGCCCAGAGCATCTGGTCGACCAGACCGTGTCCTCAGGATGGAACCTGGTGCTTGGGCGGCTCCCGCTGGCACCTGTGGGAAGATTGGGCTGTAAGAACTGCTGACCAGGCTGATTCTGGATGCCTCAGAGTCCCATAGGCAAACAGGGGCCCTATAAAGAATCCTGAAAGTGGCTGGTGGTTGCCTGGTGATCACTCAGTGGGTGGAGTGCTTGCCTTGCATGCACAAAGCCCTGTGTTCAATCCCCAACACCACCAAAAAACAAAAATAAAAATTCCAGAACACCCTGCCCAAGGACAACCCCGTCCAGGACAGTGGCTCGCTGCAGTCCACTCTCCCACCCAGGCCCCCTCCCCACGCTCTCCCTGCAGGTCTCAGCCCTGCCCTCCCCTCCACAGAAGGGTTTTCTGACCACCCCTGTTCTTCTTGCCCTCATTTCCTTCCTTTGCAGAACTGACAGGTCATGAGAGAGGGACAGGGGATGGGTCCCGCTCTAGCCCATCTGTCACAGTCGGGTCCCCAGTTTAGCCCTGACCACTGCCTGGGCACTTGCTGTCCCCAAACTGGCTGAGCTTTCTGCAGCCTCCAGGTCCCCGCCCCCATCCAGCTGAGTGTCCTTCAGTGTTGGCTCAGGTACCACCTCCTCCGGCAGCGGGGGTCCCTCCAGGGCGTCCCTCTTTCCTCTTCAGCTCGGGTATCTCAACGTCGGGGCCAGGCTTCCTGACCCGAAGCCTGGCCCCGCCCCTCAGGCTCCGCCGCAGGAGCTGCGTGTGCTTGGGAGGCGGTTGTGAGGGAGTCAATGAAGACACCTGTATTTGTTTAATAAAATTGGGACCCTGTTGGGCGGCTGGTTGTTTTTTCAAGACAGGTTTTTTGTTGTTGTTGTTTTTTAATGTCTCACATCCTGTGCGTTTCCCCCCATCATTAAATGCTCTCCATGATTTCCGATGATGGCACACTTTTTTGTCGCAGTACCATAGTTTTTTAGGCCACCACCTGCTGTTGGATAATCCAAGTGGGCAAGGCGTCCTCGGCTTTGGGCTCAGCTGGAAGGGGGATGTGCTGTGGGGAGCCATGGTCGTGGCTGCAAGCCCGGAGCACATCCAGTGCACATTTTAAGTCTTCGACCCCACATCTTGGGGTGGGGTTCATTTCCCTGCACCAAGATCCTGGAGAGGGGAAGACGGAGGTGGGAGGGATCAGCCAGCCCCATGCAACCCCTCTGGGTTCTTGGGATTTTGAGCTCAGAGCCTGGGAGTCTGGAGGGGGAGAAGCAAGAGGCCCCCTGCTTTCAGACTCCAGGTCAGTGAGCGAAGCCGGCCTCTGCCTCTGCCCCATGCCTCTGTCTCTGCTCTGCTCCCCCTGCCCTGCCTCTGGCTCGGCCTCCTCGGGCCCAGAGAGCTTTTGTACCACAGCACTGAGCCCCGTGTCCAGGCCTGGAGGAGCAGAAAGCAGGTGCCTGAGCGGGAAAGCCAAGGCACCAGCCCAGACCTCCCAGAGAGGCCGAGCCGCTGCTGCCGCCTGTCCCTCCACCACCAGGCCTGCTCACGGCCACTGCGTGGTGAAGGGGGTCAATGCTCCGCTGTCGCCATCTTGAACGCCTTAACAATTTGGGGGCAAAGGCTTGTGTTTTCATCTTGCTCCGGGCCCTGCACACTGTGGGGCCCATCCTGCCACCATCCAGTCCCCCCTCAGCCAAGCACCTGAGGCCCCTTTACTTCTTCACCAGTGACACGGAAACACCCACAGGGTCTTCTCAGAGGACCCTGGTGAGGGTTGCCGGAGCTCACGGTGCGGGCATGCCGAGAACAGCAGCTGTGCTTAGTAAGTGTAGTTACAGTCACTCCCACTAGGACCTGGCGGTGTCCCGGACCCTGCTCTTCCATTTTCTTGGCTAATAGCTGAGAACGACTGACTCACAGAAGCAGACTGGAGTCCAAAGGTCTGAGTGAAGCATCTGGGGTGTCAAGCTGAGAGAAGCTGACTGCCACCTCGAGGACCTGGACCCCGTCCTCTGCCACGACAGCCTCGGTCACCAGGGCTGCTCTGTCCACGCTGCTCCCCAGGCTGCCCTACCCATACCTGATCCCACCTGCCCTCCCGCTGAAGGAGCCCCCAGCAGCACCTGCCCAATCAGCTTGCGTGCTGTTTCCTGCCCTCTGCCTGCAGACAGGCCCGTCTTCCCACCGCGAGCTCCAGTGTTCACAGAACCACCCTTTCAGCTCTCCAGAGGGGTTTGCATTTTGTAAAGTATCATCTTTTTTAAAATAGATTTATATTTTAGTTCGAGTTGGACACAATACCTTTATTTTATTTACTTATTTTCATGTGGTGCTGAGGAGCGAACCCAGGGCCTCGCATGTGCTAGGCGAGCGCTCTACCGCTGGGCCACAACCCCAACCCTTAGAGTACCATCTTGGGGGGCCGGGGGGCAGCTTTGAGGTAGAGCACGTGCTTAGCATGTGGAGGCCCCGGGCTCCATACCTAGCACCAAAAACAATCAAGTTGAAGGAGCACTTTTCTTCTTTCCCTTCCTCAGCAATTCAGCCAAGAAGGCGTTGGGACGGGAAGCCCTGCAGGAGGACTCACCTGGGAGGTACCCGAGCCACGGCCGGAGGTGGTGACAGCCAGGCTTGGGCAGGTGTCGAGGACAGACAGTAGAGGTGCCTTCGTATCCTCTGCTCCCGACCCCACCGGAACACCCTCCAGGGCAGGGATGCTGGCCACTGCTGTATCCTCAGGAGACTGGATGCAGCCTTCGTATGAAATGCCACCGAATATCAAGTGTGACCATGTCTGGTGGCCTTTGACAACATGGGTTCTGTTTGTTACTAGGGAGTGAACCAAGGGCGCTTCCTCTCAGCTGGATCCCAGCCCTTTCTACTTCTATGCCAAGGCGGGTCTCGCTGAGCTGTCCAGGCTGGACCCTTGTGATCTTCCTGCCTCGGCCTCCTGAGGAGCTGGGATTGTAGGCAGGGCCACCGCACCTGGTTGACCACATGTTGAAGGAACAAGTGAACCGCTCACCCTGTCCTTGAGGGTCTCACGGACAGTGACTTCAGGACATCTGCCCCGGGCGAGCCACCAACCACCAGCCACCAGCCACCAGGGGAAGAGAAACCTCGGCAAGAAGGAAGCGCAGGCGGGGGCAGGTCAGGAGGGGAGGGAGCTGGGTCAGGGAGGACTCCTGGCCCAGAGGGGATGTCCCGAGGCCAGTGGAGCCTGACAGGGAGAGCAGGAGTGGGCCTAGCCATGGCAGGAGTGGGGGAGAAGGGGGCGGGGTCTGCAGGAGGCCTGGCTGTCCAGCACCTGCCACGGCCACCTGCAGCCCAGGCCCCACAGCACAAGGGTTTACGCCGGGCCCCACCCTGTTGGAATCTGGCAGGAAGAAGAGAAGTCCCCTGTTCTGTAGGTCTCCATGTGGCGGAAATCACACACCTCAGCCAGGAGGGCAGCAAGGGGCACTGAGCATCTGTGGACAGCGACTGCAATGCCCCCAAATCGCCACCAGGTGGCACCTTGTGCTCCCTGGAGACCAGACAGGAGGCCCAGAGGTCAAGGCAGGCAGATGGCCACAGAGGGCCTGGGGAGAGGAGGGGCAAGTGTCCCCTGAAGGTAGGGACTCCAACTCAGCCTCTCTGCCCCAGGGGCATCCTCCCCCTCTACATCCAGCCCTCCTGCGGGGGTGGGACTGCACAGTTGTGCATGTGCTGGGGCTGCAGTTTGTGGCCCCCAACCCAGAGGAAGACAAATCTTCATGCCTCGTAGCTGAAGGCACGAGCTTCCTGCAGCCTGAGCCTCCAAACCCTGTCCAGCCAAGTCATGCTGTGTAAACAGGCCTCCCTCCCTGCCTCCACCTTCTCCCCTGTGAAATGGGAGCCTACTACTGATCTCATGGGGTTGATATATCTAAATTGGACAACACCGGTAAGGATTATGATTAGATGATAGTGCGTTAGATAATAATAATGGCATTGATGACAATGGGCCGGCTCTGTCCACACACCTGCCCCCTTTCCTATGGGAGTAGCCAGGCGGGCTGAATCTCCTCCAAAAAAGGCCAGGCCTCCCTTAACATCCACCTACGCTGTTGGCCCTGGGTGCCGCTCAGTGCTGGGCAAGACTCCTGCCCAAAGTGGGCAGAGGAGGGGACGCCTGTGACACTGCAGCTGTGAGCTGCGAACTGCTTTTATTTCCAGTTTCTCGGCCCCACAGCGTTTGTGAGGGGAAGCAGTGGCCGCTGGTGGGTTAGCGCCCACCGCCCACTCAGACACCAGCAGAGGAACTGCTGAGGCCGATGGCGCCTCCCCCTGCCCCCACCTGGCTCCTGCTGTGGTCTGAGCAGCCCCAGGGCTTCTGAGAAAGGCCCCTGTCATGGAGGAAGGATGGGGCAGTAGTGAGCAGGAGGAGAGTGAAGGCCACAGCAGGACACTGTGGTTTCAACCTCGGCAGGAGTGCCTTCCTGACACTCTGCTACCCAGAGGGTGGCCAGGATGGCTGGGCCGGGGGACCCCGCCTGATGCATTGGGTTTGAGGGCTCTGCGGAATGTTGGGGGGATGCCCAGAGGCAGTTGGAAGGACAGAGATGGTCAGGATATAGAAGTGGGTGGCCACGGGGAGAGGAAGCACAGGCCAGGCCTGGTAGGCTCTGATGCCCTCCCCTACCTGTGTGTCCTGAGGCCTGGGATCTCCCAAGGCCCCAGGCAGCGAAAGGCTTGGCAGTGGACGTCTATGGGGAGGGTCCCCAGAAGCCCAGTTTTCTGGCCATGGTCAGTCCTGGAATGGGGCAGGCAGGTGACCAGCCTCATGACCCTGAGTCCAAGTGAGGGCTGGGGCCTGGTTGGGGAGTAGTTTCCGGTGGTCCACCCCGTCTCATGACCTCGCTGCAGTCAGTCCACCGAGCCCCACCTCTCCCCTTGGGGTCTCACCCTGATGATGCACCGGGCAGGAAGCTGAGGGGCTGGGGCTCCCTGGGTTCCAGGCCAGGGAGGAGGCCTCTGAGCCCACCTGGAGTCCCGAGCCCTCTGGCTTCTCAGCCGCTGAGGTGTGAACAGGAGTTTGTTGGGGTCAGTGCCTTGCCTCTGTGCCCAGCCAGATGACTTCCCCTTCCTGGCTCCCCTTACCTCTTCTCCAGCAGAGACCACGGCTCCTGGCCCCTCCTGCCACGCACGCTGCAGGGGCAGAGCTTCAGGGGTGGGCCTTCAGCAGCGGCCCTGTCCCTGTCTTGCCGCTGGCCTCCTCGGGCCTCCCCCAGTGCTGAGAGGAAGGAGCCTGCAACAGCTCTCCTGCCCTGCCCCCACCGCTGTAGGCTCACAGGCCCAGAACAAAAACACACCACAAATAGAAATCAAAGTCTGAGAAAGAACCAAGGAGCCATGACCCAGCCGTGGGAAAGGCTGTGTGGCCCTGGCGGAGTCCCTTGACTTCTCTGAGTCTGTGTGCTCATCATCAAATCGGGCAGTTGCCTCACCAGGAAGGGTTGTGAGAAGCTGAGGTAAGACCTAAAACCCCGGGGCACAGGTGTGACGTTTGGTTCCTCAGTAAAGCCCCTCATGGCAGGGTCTCTCGGATTCTCCCCTCGCCCACTGCACCCCCGCAGCCAGGCTGGGGCTGCCCCACAGCTTTCCTGCAAGGCGGGGGGCTGCCGCCCGGAGGCTTCTGCAGCATGGCCCTGGGCTCCACTTCCTGTTTTTCAGCCCCAACGAATTTCGCCCTGTCGCTCTTTCATCAGGGGAGCTGGGGGCGGGAGGCCAGGCAGAGGCCTGCCTGGGGAGGAGGCCTAGGGTCAGAAGTCACACTGGGATGCAGGGAGGCCGGAGGCCGGGGGCAGGCGGGTGGAGCTGGGAGCCGCCCTGAGGGCAGTTCACTTCCCACCCTCAGACTGGACAGAGGCTCTCCCTAGGCTTCAGAAAGTCCAGGACGCCCTGATCCCGGCTGGTCCCCATCTGTCTGGTGACGTAAGGGGCAGCAGGGCCACTGCAAGGAGCAAGGGTGGCCTCCCTGCCTCCCTGAGGCTGCAGGGCTGAGCATGGGCTCCCGGGTCACTGGGTCTAAGATCCAGCCCCAAGGACAGGAAGGAGCTGTTCCCACACTGGCCGGGAGCGGGGCTTTTGTCCTCTTCCTTGGCTACAGTCCCCAGCCCTCCCTCTGGACAAAACATGATCTTGTCCATGCTCAGCCCCTTGCTGGACGGCTCACTCCTTCACTTGGCACGTTGCACTCTGGGATGCCTCTGGGCCCAGACATGGCTCTGCTGACCACGGAGCCAGCCCCATCCGTGCAGAGCGCCGTGGCTGGGGGCCGCTGAGTCCACAGGCAATCGTGGCTGAGTGGACGGAGCGCTCCAGCCAGGCCCTGACTCTACCGACTAGTTCTCCAGGCACAGAACGAGAAGGCAAAGGAAGGGTGGGGAGGGCGCGCCAGAGGGAACGGCAAGTGCAAAGGCCCAGAGCAGACCCCAGGACTGGGATGTACTGGACTGCAAGTCCCCACTCGGCAGGAAGGAGGGCGGCAGGCGGGGGGCGGGAGTGCTGGGTGGCACCCTGGGAGGCCGGCTGACAGGCCCCACAATAACTGAATGTCCCCTCATCCTCAAGCCTCAGCCTCGACCCACACCCCCGTCAGCCTGCCTCGGCCTAAGATCAGAAACCAGCCCGTTAGCTCAAGCAGGAAAGGGGATGTCATAGCAGACGTCCTTACTCCCCAAGACTGCCCCCTTTCTGATGCCAGCTGCAAGCCCCGGTGGCTTTCCCTGTGCCTGACAGAACAGCTATAAATCAGGGTTCCCACAATCCCCTCCTCAGCGTCCAATAATTTGCTGGAACAGCTCACAGGACTCAGGGAAACACGTTTTCTGATTTCTTATAAAGAACATCCCAAAGGCTGGGCGTGGTGGCGCACACCTGTTATCCCAGCTACTCTGGAGGCTGAGGCAGGAGGATTTCAGGTTTGAGGCCAGCTTCAGCAACTTGGTGATACCCTACCTCAAAACAAAAAATTAAAAGAACTGAGGATGTAGCTCCATGGTACAGAGCCCCTCGGTTCAATCCCCAGCACCAAAAAATAAAGAATATCAGAGGATTCTGAAGAACATCAGGTAAGAAGACAAAGAGCCAGGTACGAGGACAGGGCTTGGAGCTTCCCGGTCCTCTCCGTGCCACCTCCCGGGAACTTCTGTGCATCCAGCCATGCTAAAGCTCTCTGAACTCTGTCCCTTGGGATTCTGTGTGGGCATGACTGATGGCATCATTGACCCTCTCTCTTCCCAGGAGGTCGGGGTGGGGCTGAAAGTTGCGACCCTCTGATCACATGGTTGGTTCCCCTGGCAACAAGCCTCATCCCGGGGATGTCCCGCAGGCAATCAACTCGGTAGCACATAAAAAGACAAGTATCACTTTGGGGATCCTCAGGATTGTAGGAATCATCTGCCAGGAAAAGGGACAAGGACCAGGGACTATTTTTCAATATCATAGGTACAAGCTGCCCTCAGTGGACACAGAGACGCACCTAGGCTTGGGAGGATGGGGCAGGACAGCCCCTGGATACTTTCCCAGCACCCTGTATCTGTCCCCACTTGCCCACTTGCATGACATCTGCCAAGCTGGCGTGCCCTGGATCCCTCACCCAAGGAGAACTGTCTCCTGTCCCCAAGCCCACTCTTCTCGAGAGACTTGACTGGCCTCTCTGGAATCAGGGCCTCCCTCTGGGCCAATCTGCTCTGGCAACTGGTCAAGTCTGACTGCTGCACATCTGTCCCCGTGGCTTTGTGAGGAAAGGGGACCAGAAAGGGGACCAGGCCAACAGCTTAGGGCCTCCAAGCCACAGCGTTCACTCTAGTCCACTCTGTTCTGGTTCCCCCGACACAGGCTTGTCGGCTCCTTGGATTGTCCCATTTCCCCTCATTCCAGTCACCCTTGCTTAGCCCGGTCCTGCCGCACCACCAAGCCAACCCAGTGTCCCCCTGTCAAGCAGAGGTTGCATCCACGCTGTGTTCCCTGGATGTCGCCCCCTGCTGTCTGTCTGTCCCCAGTATTTCTGCTGGATCCTTCTAAGGCAGCTCCCCTGGACCCCCTCGGCTGGTGGACCGAGGGATCAGTTTGACCTCTCCTGCCATACTTGATGGACAGTGCAAAGACGACGAAGTGTCACCCACCGTGGTCTGGAACGTGAGGGACGGGCTGTCACAGAGGTTTGCTTTGCTGGGTACCTTCCTTGACCCCTTGTTTGGCAAGCGTGACCACCCAGGTTCTGCCCACTGGGAAGATGCCCCCCTGTGGAGGGTCTTTGGGACATGTCCTTGAGAGCTTCTTAGAAAGATAACTGTCTTAGTCACCTGCTTCTCCATGCTGGGACATTGGCCTCAGATGCTCCAAGAGGATGACATGTCCCAAGCCCCAAGGTGCCAGGCTCTGTTCCTGGGTTTTCTGCCCTCATAAAACCTACTTGGTTATCTGAAAATTTTACCTTGGGTCATGACAATTGCCGATAACCAATGCCTTGAAATTCTATCTAGTTGAATATCCAAGTTAGGACTGGGCTGTGGCCAGGGCTGGGGGTTCCCGGCAGCAGGCATGGTGGTTGGTGTCTTCGTTCAGAACAAGGGTGAGAGGAGGAGCTCACATCTAGCTTAGGTGGGAGGAAGGTTTTCTCTTCCATTTCTCTTGGAACACTGCCTGCCTGCCCTCATGCCAGCTGACGATGGGAGGCACCGCCATGCTTGTCTGGCAGGGACCAGAGGTTAAGCTTGTTCAGCCCCACGGTCTCCCCAGGTGGCTCCATTCCAAATGCCAGGCACCCAATACACCAGCTGCTACCTACAGGGTGTGGCAGAGGCCACAGCCTCCACTACTCGGTAAGCACACATTATCTGACCTTTGGTAGTCGCTGCATATAGGAAAAGAGAACTTCCCTTAACCAAGTTCAATATTTGCCTTTCTTTTTCCTAATCTTGAGCGGAATTGAACGGGAGCTCCTCCTCCAGCACCTTTGGAACTCTGCTAGAAGTAACTCACACCCTGACAGCCTGGCCATCTTGCTCCCAAGTTTCTCAGGGATTCAGCCCTGAAGTCCCAGGGGACCACTGAAAATAGCTGACGGGATCTGTCACCGTGTAAGGAGGACAGCCAGCCCCCACCCAGGAAGAGAGTCCGTCCGCAGTGGCTCGCTGAGCTTCTCACGAGCTGTTTCATGCTCTCTTTGAGACCTGTCACTGTAACAGCCACTTCTGATACCAATATGTCTAATAACCAGGATTTCTTCAAATAATAGAAATCAAGGCCAGAGAATTGATGCTGGGTGGAATATTGTTCCCCACCCCATTTCCCCCCCACCACAAAAACTAATGCTCCTACAGAACCCCAAAAAGTGATCTTAGCTGGAAATAGGAACTTCGTAGATGTGATTAGTTGAGAGATAAGGTCATATTGGAACACTGTCTTTATAAAAAGAGGGACACTTGGACAAGGACAGACACAGGGAGGAGGTGGAGGCGGAGACTGGAGAGGGGCATCTATATGCCAAGGAGCGCCAGCAGCCACCAGCAGCCTCCAGAAGCTGGAGAGAGGCTGGGGTGGATTCTCTTTTGCTGTCTCCACAAGGGACCAGCCTGCTCACACCTGGATTCTGGGCTTTGGCCTGCAGGCCGAACCTCTTGTTTGAAGTCATGGAGTTCGTGGACAATTGCTACAGCCACCCTAGGTAACCAACCCAGAGTTGAAGAATGACGGGCATCAGGGTCACAGAATCTCAGGGTGAGAATGCAGAGGGACCTTAAAGACCCAGGACAAGGAGCTGGAAAGTACCTGGAATCTTCTCTCTCCTCCCCACCCCCTCTTTCTCTGCTCACCTGCTTCATGATTCTCTGTCTCTTTTCCTGCCTCCCATCCTCTCTGATGGGCGTGAGAGGCCCCATGGCTCGCAGCTTCCATATTGCAGAACCCAAGTTCTAGGTCCTGAAGCGCAAAGCCTCCCTTGAGTCTAATTCCCATGCCCAGGGAAGTCACTGAGAGGCTCTCCTCAGGTCAGCTGACCGCCCCTGGCCATATCAATTTGAGCAAGGTCAAGGGCGTGCGAGGCAAGAGACTCTGGAGACTGCTGGTGTGGCTATGTGGAAGCCGGG